ATTGACGTGAATTTTGAATTATTAAAATTGTGACTATAGTTAATAACAGACAAAAAATACAAATGTTTGAACGCATTTTCTTTAACTACAGATTTTTTACTCTTTGCTGTTAAGTTAATTAAAAAAATAAGGTATATTAATTAAATTTTGTGAGGGGCTCTAATCGCCAACCCCACCCCCCCCCCGTGAGTGCGTCACTGGTACAAACTATGAATTTTAAGTGAATCTACTAATTGAACAGATTACGTTTATATTACATATATCAGTTTCACTAAAGCGCAACATTTCAATTCTAAAAAATATGTCACTGTAGAAATAAGTCACTTTATTTCGTAACCAGCTCCTGACTTATATCGAAGTATGAATGTAAAAATACGTGAGTGGCAGCGAAAGTGTTAATATTTTAGTACAAATAATAATTTTGAGTTTTGCAAACAAAAAATTTTTGCTAAAAATTCGTACAATGTATACTCTTCTAAAAATTTTCCATTTTACAGATATAATAAACCAAATGATTTAACGAACATTATGCAAACTGTTTTACAAACGTATCCAGATGATACAAAAGTATTTATTATAAAAGAATTTATATCAGTTTGCATGGTAGAAAATTATTATTATCCAGCATTGTACGTGACAAAAAATAATTTTATGAGCAGAACAAGAGTCGAATATATCACTTCTGATTTTATTGACGAGGGCAGAAAACATCTTCCAATATTCGTGACATATACGACAAAATCACTTATGAATTTTCAAGGGATTTTTGTCAATAAATCCTTTTGGCTATCACCGCAAACATCGAAAAGAATACAGGAAAAGTCTGATGCAAATGATTGGACGATATTCAATTTACAACAAATAGGTAAAACATTAAATTTATTATGTTTTATCTTCGTCTTATCCTTTTTGCTTTTTTAATCTTACGCACTCTAATGCTTGCGACACGCGCACTCGCATACTCGAAACTGTGCGTGTCACTCATGCTCGCAAGCAACATTCTTACACTCTAATCGCACCTACACTTTTTTCAAACAAATTGTTTAAAATATTTTATTAAAAAATAAATAATTTGAGAAAATGTTTCACAAACAACAATAAAAATTATTTAAAAATTATTTCTTGATACATTCTATCGAGAGACTTTAATAATGAAAGCTTTCTTGTTTATAACAGGGTATTATCGTGTTAATTATAATGTTGCAAATTGGTTAAAACTTGCACAGTACATGAATTCTACAAAATATATCGACATACATGTTCTCAATCGAGCCCAAATCATAGATGATGCGTTTCACTTCTTAATACATGAACAACTTGATTATGATACATTTTGGAAAATCTCTTCATTTTTGTCACAAGAAACGAATTATACAGTATGGTATCCTATGTTTAAAGCTTTTGAACATATGACTTTTAGGATTTCAATTAAAGATGCTGAAAACGTAAAGGTAGATAATAACAAATTTTTATAAGAAAGATTGCATCATAATATTATGTGTATAGAGTGATTCAATAATAATAGATAAATAACAATAAATTAAAATTTATATTACATACCAATTTTTAGGAAAAGATGGAAAAAATATTGTGTGGAGTTCTGGGTCGAATAGAATACGAACCAAAACGATACGAAAGCGATTTTACTGTAAGTTTAAGAGAGGAAGCCGTAAAATGGACATGTATTATTGGTAATAAAAAATGCAGAGAAGTAGCCAATGAGCAAATGACAAGAGATCTATATTCCGAAAGTGCCACGTAAGATGTTTTACAACCCCAATATTTATATTTAACAATTTTTGTTGCATTACATATGTTTACCTTATATACACAAATACTACACTGGATAAATTATTTTATTATAAAATAAGCTCAATTTTTGTAAGAAATTTATTTTTTCTGGTAACGCAGTTTTGTAACGCAATCGGAATGGAAAGAATGGATGTATTGTAATGGTTTGGTGTCAGCGAACAGCACCATTTGGTATGACGTATGGTACAAATGGGCAGCAACACCTAATGATATAAAATTTTTAGAATACTTAACTTGCAGTGAAAATCCTGTAGTTATTTCTAATTATCTGCTGGTGAATTCGATTAATAATTTTTTGTTACAACACAACAATACACGTGCTCACATATTTCTTCTTACCGTTGCGAGGCATGCAAGAAACGATATAGTTTGCGACTTTATTTTGCAAAATCTCAACAATAATACACTTACGTTCATCTCCAACACGTAATAATAATTTTTTTATAAATATATTTGTATATTTATATAAATAATTGTTATATTTATAATTGTTATCCACCCGCGTCTTTTTATTCTTATAGCCTTTTATTATAAATAATAGTATTTATCGCTTTATTTTTTTGCAGGCAAGCTGACATAATTGCAACGTTCATTGTTATTATTACGCACCAACATGCTGTAGAGCAATTACATAAGGTATATATTTTTAACTGAATTAACACTTCTTTTCATTTCTTAGCTACTTAAATATTGAGCTTATTTTTATTTGATTTCTCATGTACATACATGTCATATCTCAACCGATTACCTTTAACACAACAATTTATGCTCTCATAAACTGTAGTGCGAAAAAATTTTAGGTTTGTTGATGTTATCAAAATAATTTGTTTTAGGTACTTGAATTTGTAAAAACTAATTTGAAAGAAGAACGACTAGTTTATGCTGTTGGAAAAAAAATTAAAAAACGGGTAGACGAGTATGGAAGACAAGTTACAAATTATGGGCTTGTCGGTCGATCTCGGTTAAAGTAATATTTATTTAATTTAATTGTTCCTTCTTAGATTGCAAATTTTTGTTAAAGTAGATATGTGGTTTACAATAAAAAAAAGGTACACAAAATTATTTGAGAATTTTTTATGCCTTACAGTCTACATAGAAAAAAATATCGGCTCGGATGTACAAAATGTGTTTGGGAAAGTGCAATGTAGAAAAAATGATTTGCTAGAAAGTAATTTTTGTCAAGAATAAAATAATATATTTTAAATTTCTATGCTTATGCCAAAAAATTTTAAATATCGGAAGTAGTAGGACGGAAAGTAATATAAATATTTGTGTTTAATTGTTTATATGGAAAATCTGAAAACATAGCTGTCATATATGAACTAAAAGTTGCTTCTGTCATATTATATGGTGCGCGATTCTTTGCGCGACTATTGGCAATCGCTGATATTTTGAACTCACAATTTCTTTAGTTGATATATATTTCTTGCTAATAAAAATACATCTAGGTTTTGCCTAGAAAAAAACGGTGTTGTTCCAAAACAACACTTAATTTATAACTAGTAGCCGAATATGATTTCTTCTACCGATTCGATCATCAAAAATCATAGAAATTTATTAAATTTACCAAAACTATCGATATTGTCGACACTATCGTCGAAACTATCGACACCACTGTCACATCCCGGCGTGGTGGCGGTAACACGTAGTGTTCGCACCTTTACGCGAGACTCAATCGCGGTAAGATTCACAAACCAATGAAAAAGTAAAAGATCAGAAAAGAACGTGAAACACAAATGTTGTGTTTAATATAAAAATCGTAACCAAAATCCCTTTCTAATGGATAGCGAATTTGAATGAGAGATCGTAAGGGAAGCAGTATCGCATTGATGTTTTGTTGCTCCTTACGCGAACAGCGTATATGAACGATAATTAGGACCGTATTCTAATGAATAATAAATTCAAATAATAAATCGTAAGGAAAGCAGTATCGCATCGATATTTTGTTGCGACTCTGCAAAACAACGTGTATAGTAATAATTAGAACCGTATTTTAATGAATAGTTAATTTAAATAAAGACGAACAATGAATCCGAGTAAGACCACAAGAAAATAAATATGATAATAATACAGCAACGTAGTAAGAAGTAGTAATCAACCATTGTGACTGATGTGTAATTATTTAAGTTTTATTATCACGCAGTAAATGAAGGAATCGCTTAATACCATTAGAAATGCATCAAATGTATTTTGACCGAAAATTTAAGAGAGTAACATTGGGTCTCGCTGATCATAAAAACTTTCTCCGTTTTCAGCGATATTTTGCATATAATTAAGGTACCTGTCTTCGCATTCGTGACACACGGAAATCAACCTCGGTTGAATCAACGCGAGGTAGCGATGGCAAATAATGCAATGTAATCTTGGGCGGCGACGCCCGACGGATGCGTAATGCCTATCATTTAAAACTACGAATAAACTTTTATATTCAATCGGCTCGCTAGCGATGCATTCGTTGCAAAGACGCTCTTTTGCCATAGGATTCACGAAGCTGGTTTCACGAACGCAACTAGCTAAGGAGTACCTATAAAGATATTCCAATCGAGGCGACCGACAAGCGTAACGTTTCCCCACACACATATCAATTATTTAGGGTTCGATTAATCAGACGGTTGATTTAATAAGCTGGTTATAACTAACGTACGTATTCCCGGCCCTCCGCCAAGTAGCACGCTGGTAGGATCGGGAAGATTAACAACACTTCGTCCTTCTCGAGTTAATTGATTTGTTAGGCTTATAAAATGATTGAGACACGTGAGACAGTGACGGACTGGAAAAGGTTGAGATACGTTCTGGCCACAAACACGACACTTTGCTAATGGAACTATAGAACCGATATTCAAATGATGTCCAAGGACGTGTTCGAAATCATTGCGCGTTGGTTCTGATAAATCGTGATAACAATTGAGGCACAATATCGTGCCAGTATTTCTATTCAAGCACGCGTTATCCAAGATACAGTACACGAAACGACAATTACAATTCGAGTCTGGACGCGAAGATGTTACTTCGGTATCTGGCATTTTTTCTTGCTCAGATTTTAACTTTAAACCTTCCCATGCAAATGAATTTGGAACGGACTCACCGGTGTGGACTTGTATGGTACCTGAAGCCAGTGATAATTCAATCTAATTGTAAGGCGCCCGATCGGTTCCAGGATCGATCTTCCAATAGCAGGCTGATAGTCGTGTAGAGATGAATCTTTAGATGCGTCATTGTTGCTGGTTATCTTGCGGTCGAGGAATCACTGCACTAGAGTTATTTCGGCGCGACACGTCTTTACCTTTTATTGTTCGTTGGAATTTAAGGATCGCACGCTAAATTGGAATAATGTTTAAGGATTTGAAATTAAAGATAAAATTTTCAAAGCAACCAAATAAATGTAATTATAAATGAAAATAAGAGTACATTGGTTAATAAACGAAATTACACTCAAATGAACTTATAAATAAGTATTCTTACAAACATATAAGCACTTATGTTCTAGAAATGGAACGCGCAGTTCGCGGATTAAGTACTTGAACGTATAAAATTGATAAACCGAACTTAAACTAACCGTACTGAACTAGAACAAAACTAGAACTAGAATTAGACCGAGACTGAGTCAGAATTGAAACTGCGACTGCGAAAACTAACAACTTGACCGAAACCGACTCTCTGACTGAATATTGACGGCTTACTGAAAAATTGAATACTGACTGACTCGGCGGCCTCGCAGGGCCCGTATTTATACTCTTCTGGATCTCCAGAGACAAAGGTTTGTCCTATGCAATAGGACCGCACATGGATGTAATCTCGCTTTTGAATATCGAATGTTCGAGGCATGGTTTATATAAAACTGCAGGCGATACTCGAACCTAAGTTTTGAGAGTGGTATGGTTAACATAAAACCGTAGGTGATATCCGGACCTAAGTTTTGAGAGTGACAACAGATAATTTACAGTCGTACGCTCTGAAACGCAACAAGGGGTTTACGTTACGCGAAAGGTTTCGTGTTGCGCCTTTCTGGCGACATGTGTCGGGCGCTATTGATACAGCGAGCGATAATTCCAAGAGGTGATAAACTAGAAAGTTTAAAACAAAAATTTACGAGTGGAAATCTACTTGCTAAAATATGGGGACGTTACACCTCCCCCTCTAAAATAAAATATTGGACCATGCGCCAATATTTGAACATATACTAGTTATAGCTATGAACCAAAGCATAATACAAAATAATAAAACATAGGTTTTAACAAAATTGATCCAATATTTGGACGTATACGAATTATAACCATAAAGCGCACAATACAAAAATAGCGAAACATAAATTTGGACAAGAAATAGTGCAACATTTGCAACCATATATAAAATTACCGAAGCATAATGGAATATACTTAACCATAAAATTATCAAAATAATATGATAAAGGAGAGATTATGAAATATACGCAACCGTATATAAAATTACCAAAGCATAATAAAATATACTTAACCATAAAATTATCAAAATAATATGATGAAGGAGAGATTATAAAATATACGCAACCATATATATATGAGAGTACAAGATAGTTTAAAATATTATTTCGTTACCTTAACCTGAGGTACGATGTCGCGTGGACAGTCGTCTAACAATTGTCTTAATTCTTTATAAGAGTATTTATGTTCACTCACATTACAATTTTCACCAGAGGACGATTCTTGAGATTGTTCACTGATCGGCACAGGTGATGGAGCGGATGGTTCCACGTTTTCACTCTGGTTTGGAGTCTTCTTTTCTTTGATTGGTGCCGTTTGACCCAGATGTAGTAATAAATGTGTGGTGGAGGTCCAGATGGCTCCCAAAAGATGTAAGCTCCATCCATAAACAGAATGTAGAGCGTAACCGTGGATGATCGTATCAATGACAAGTTTTGTTACTCGAATAACAATAAAAATTCCGAGCACTCCTGCACTCGCGGATCCAAAACTGATAAAGCCCCTCCAAATTCTTTTACCGGTGCTTTCAGCCAGCTGATCCAAAGATTTCTCGTCCAGAAGACCCAAAATTGAAATGCTCCCGGATGGAACGGTTTGTCCCATCACTCCTCGGGCCAAATTATGTAAAGTTGACGGCTTTTCGACTGGAAACATTATATAGTCCCGCAATCGTTCCAGATCATTGTTTGTGTAAATTCCACTTGTGGCAAGCGACGAAGGGTTGACGTATTTCCATTTTGGATTGGTGAGAGGTTGAATAGTTTGTGGAGGCAGTGACTCCGTTGGACGTTGTCCCGTACGAAACCAAATTCCATGTAACTTGTACATCGTAGGCAAAAGTTCGTTGCAGTCTCGCCGAGTTCCCGCTTTGGAAAGAATTCTTGATCTTGATAGCAGGAACATGGAGATATTCCGATGATAAACTGGAAGCTCGTTGTAGCAGTCTTCCGTGTGTCTAATTTTGCACTCGGTAGGCTCGCATTTGATGATGTGAATAACATCACCGGCGATTACTGCTGTGTAACCAACGTTTTTCATAATTCGGGAGGCCATCTCGTCCAGGGCGATGCTGGCCAGTGAGAGTGCATTTTTCAGGATTTGTTTTTCTAGAGCACATTTTTGCTGCATGATGTCCTGGTATAGTGTTGAAAGTTGGCTTTGGACATGCTTCTCGATGTAGACAAATTTAGAATTCACGTAAGCAAATATATCTAAATTGTCTACAGGCGTTTTAGAACGTGTTCTGAATGCCTTCCCTTGCTGGGTTTCGAAGATGAAGAGCTTCGGATGTTCCGTGTGGTAGATTCTGTATCCACAAAGATTAACTTCTGTAGTTTTTGCCAGTGCGAAAGTCGTTCCGTGCGTTGTAACTGCATATACTACAGGCGTGGATTGATTATCTCGCGGTGTAAGCTTGGTAGCATACCCCTCGTATAAAGTGTCATACTGGTCGAAATGGCAATTGTCGATTGATGTTATAGGCCAATACGATTCATCTCCTTCTGAATCTATGCAGTATCCTGTGAAGGCATCACATGTTGTTCCCGATGGCAGC